ATGTCACTTTCGGCATTTAGCCGAAAGTGCCATTTTCGGCTGGCGCCCCCCCTTCACTTTTCGCCCGGTGCCCGCGCCCCTGCTGCCCCCCCGGTTGTTACGCCACTGATGTAGACATGTGTCCGTTTACATCAGATTACCCCCGATCCAGCACGATCAGGTCTGGCAAAACGGAACACCGTTCCATTTGTATTTCTGGACCTGGCCGGAGACGGGAGTAACCGTATCTAAACGGACACACATGTGTTTAGATCCAGCTGCCCGAAGACTTACATTGGGCATCCGATCGGGTCTGCCTGAAAATCTGACAGTTGAACCTGATTGGATCGCCCATGTAAAAGGGGCCCTATAGATCCACTTTGAGCAAATATGACCTAACAAGCCTCCCATCCCACGGGGATTTTATTTTGCTTACTTTGTGAAGCAAGTTACACTCACCTCTGTCACCCCCATTTCTGAGTGCAGGGGACTTCTAATCCAGCACTGCAGATGGTCTGTTGTCCCCTACCGTTCCCTTGTGATTATGTCACTTCTTTTCTGGACCATAAAAGGACCCCACCGCTGGACAGCCAATAGAAAGACCCCCTCCCCCCCGGATGTAAACAAAGGAAGACAGGACTGTAGCATCACGTGACCGCGGCTTTAGGTAAGTTAAGAATTTTTTTTTTTATAACGGCATCAGTTCGAGGGGTTTAGTATTGTCCTGGAGATGGACTTAAAGGCCTCATGCACAGCAGACTGCCACCAAGGGCGTTCATCCATATTCCTACAGATGTGCCAGTTCGGTTTGGCGATTTGCTATGTGCGGTCACATCGATATACAGGTGGATAGATGCAGTACTTGTCACTCCGAGGCGCCGGTCTGCACAGACATTCACATGGGGGTTCATAGCCGTACAGTGTACATGAGGCATAAACAGATTACTTTGTGTGTTGCTGTCTAGCCTAAAAGTGTGCTGGGGACCCCCTTTTGTTCTGTTTTGTATATTGCGGCAAATCATGTGCACTTTTTACTAGTTTTAAACTGATCAGAGCGGCTGCCATCTTTGCTTTTGTGGTGCAGACACACTGGGGATCTTCAGCTGCCTGGTGAAAGCGATGTCTGGTCTTCTGGAGTGTTCCTGTACCTTCAAGGATCCACACACATATACTCCTCTTACCTGCTGGGGCCCGGCCTCCTCCACCCCCTCCCCTGTCACCTCTGCCATGCCGCCCCTGGTACAGCTGATAGTCATGTAAGCGGCCCCCTAGGCTGCCCAGAACCCTCACATAGGTACCGACCGTACCCCCCTGATGGCGTTCTATCAAACGTTGTGACTACGTTACAATGTATGACCGGTGACGTGGTCACACAGTTCAATGTAATCCCGCCCAGTTTTCTGTGACTGCCAATAGGTCAAGCATTCCAACACTTTCTCAGCTTTTCCAGGGCAGATCAGCATCGCAAATCGTATGTGCAGGAGAACCGATCTGCCCTATAACAGCTGATCAGTCCTGAAATTTCACTTCTATCTGACTCTGTGAGTGCGAACTCACATTCCACCCCACTCACAAAGTCAGACAGAAGTGACATTTCAGGACCGATCAGCTGTTCCAGGGCAGATCGGTTCTCCTGCACATACGATTTGCAATGTCAATCTGCTCTGGAACAGCTGAGAAAGTTTTGGAATGCTTCACCTATTGGCGGTCACACATTCCACCACTGAAAAACTGGGCGGGATTACATTGAAATGTGAGACCATGTCAACGGTCACAAACGTTGATAGAACGGCCCTGTCTAATCATTTAATCAGAGAAATAGATTATAATACAGTGTAAGGTTCCCTATTATAATCCACTTTCTAATTAAATTAATCATTCAGACTCACCTGGTCAGAGCCTCACAGGATCCCAGACACACTGTGTGCAGGGCATGTGACACACACTTCTCCTCTCCCGCCGTCTGTTACTGGGGATGCGGCCAGGAGAGGAGGTGAGTCACGGGACCCGCCCCCTTTCTGAGAAGACCCTGCACTGCTGCATATTCCACCGGGGTGTGCCCAGGACCGGACCTCACTGGGCCCCCCCACAGCCTCAGGCCCAGATGCCCCGGCGGTAGTTCCGCCCCTGGACAGGGAGCCGCAGCAGAGGGATGAAAGAGCCACATGCGGCTCCGGAGCCGAAGGTTGCTGACCCCTGTTCTAGGAGGACGGGGCTACCACCAGGTGGGCCCGCTTTCTGCTTGTACATTGTTATATACACTGCATAAAAAAAAGTCACCACCCGGATTTAGCTAAGCAAATAATAAAGAGCCCTCCATTGGATAAGTACTGCAGTGAATAATATATTTCATTTTGCAATAAAGTTCAGCTGCCTACCTGAATATACTGAATGACCAGGCTTTTACATCAATGGGTTTTTCCTTCACTGATGGCGCGGGCATATTCCAAGATGTCATTGCCAGGATTCATTGGGCTCAAATTGGGAAAGGGTGGTTCAGGTAGCATGAGACATATTTTCACACATGGATTGGCCACCACACACTCCAGACCTTAATCCCATTGAGAATCTGTGGGATGAGCTGGATAAGACTTTACACAGTGGTCCAACTCTTCCATCATCACTACAAGATCTTGGTGAAAAATGAATGCATCTCTGAATGGAAATAAATGTTGTGACATTGCATATGATTATCGAAATGATGTCTCGGTGATTGTGTGCCATAATGGAAGCTAAACGCTTTACAACAAAATATTAGAGTGTGTGACTTTTTTTGGCCTGGCAGTGTATGTCCCATAATTGGGAAATTAATATAGAGTAGAGTTAGGGGCCACACTTATCAGAGGTGTCATGACATGGCATGGTGGCTCCATTGTATTTGCAATAGATCTGCATGGCCACATGGCAACAGTACTTTTTAATGCTGCTATCTGCAAGTTACTCCCACTACCTGTATCAGCATTTTGCTGGGAGCCATGACATAGTGGCAAGGATATGAGGGGGGACAGTAGTTGGTAGGGTCTAAAAGGTAGGTAGATCCCAGTATGTAGAGTTCTTTGGTAGAGGAGACTTTGTATGTTTTTATTTGTTGGTACACTGCATACGTACAGTGAGGTGTAACATCTGTAACATGCCGAGAATAGGGCTGGATGTCCTAATAACATTAGTGATCGCCCAATGGTCAAAGAGTGGAGATGCCAAACCAGAAGAAGAGTAGAACAAGATAACGGCAGCAAAAATGAAACACCTGCCATAAAGCGCTTGTCTCCTGCTTTTCCATCACTCTGATCTGCCACTTTAGACCCCAAAATAACTGCACATATTTCAGTCAAGTCAAAACCTGCAAAGGCTGTGCGTGTCAATAAAATTCTTCATTAACACTCTGCCAATAAATGTTTCTATATGTAACTATGCTATGAACTCTGCATCATATCAAAGTGTGCTTGATGAGAATGTGAGGCGATCTGTCCAGAAGTGGAACTGAAAATAAATCTTTTCATAATAACCTGAAACAAGGAATGGCTCAAAAAGAAGGGTTATGGGTTGGCCTAGTCAAAGCCCTGATTTGAATCCCATTGAAATGTTGTGGGGAAGTTACATGGGCAGTTCATGCATGGAAACCTACAAATATCCTGCAATTGAAGGACTGTGCATGGAGAAGTCAAAAGTTTCACAGCACCGATATCAAAGATTAGTGGGACAATTATGCAGAATACCTAAAAGACGTAATTTCTGCTTAAAGTTACATTAAGGTCAAAAAAAATTCCCTCCCCCCATGTTAATGTTAACATTTACCTTAAATTATGTCTCTTATCTGTCCCTCCAGCGGTGCGGCGGCCCTCCGATTCAGCGCTGACTGCTCTGTCCCTCCGATCCAGTGGTGTCTGCATGCGGGTGCACGCGTCCATAGACTTACCTTGCGTCTCTGCTCGTCTCCCGGCCGAGAATCGGAACTGCGCATGTGTCCGCCCCAAGATCCTTTGCGGCCGTATGAGCAGTTCCTGATTCTCGGCGCAGGAGCGCGCAGCGATAACGAGTAGACGTGTGATTCGTTCCGAAACGAAATTCGGACGAATTTTCGGAAATTTGGATGTATCCGAATTACAGATATAACGAATGCAAACGAATCCGAATTTCCATTTCCGAAATTCGTTAGTGGTAGTTCATTCGAACGTTCGTTTCGTTTTCGTTTCTTGTTC